CTGGTGGCCCCCGCTCCTGAGCGTTTCTGGGTCCTGCAGTGTGGAGAGGCTCATTCTTACTGGCTGCTAGGTTTCAGCTTTTCCTCTCCCTGTCAAGCCAGCTTCCACCGTCCATTTGCTTTCTATTACACTAAATGTTGATATGTTCTTGTTTCCTTTACCATTTTCCTGCCTGTGTTTATAACTTTTTTTTAACTATAATTTTAAACTGACTTTGGGAAGGAGTGGAAATGATTGCGTGTGCTCAACCTAATATGTTTGGCTAGAAGTGGCTGGTGGTAAATCTTCGTAAACATTCTAGAAGCTTGGTGGTTGTCCGTGTGGCATACCTTTCCTTCCCACTTCCCATTGGTTGTCAGCTCTCTGGAATTCACCCTCACCCCTGTGGATCTTGGTCCCCACAGGTCACTAGGGACCCCTGATTGCCAAGTCCAGGGATCTAGTCTCACACTCCTTCCCAAACTGTGCAGCATTTGTGATCAGGAGCATTTTCTCCATTCAAAACGCCTTCCTCCTGTGCTTTCTGAGTCCCAGGGCTGCCTGGTTTTCCATCTGTACTTGTGGTGACTTTTGTAATAGTTCTTCTTCCTCTCACCCCTGTGAAGGTGCTCCCTGGGGTCCCTCCTTCTCTTCTCTTCCCTCCCCGTCTCTCCTCTCCCCTCCCTTCTGTTCTCCTCGCCTCTCTTCTCTTCGCTGTAACTAGTATCTGTAATCAGATGAGTCACAAATCTGATCACTAACTCAGTCCCATCCCTACCTTTCCTATCGGATCTTTCTTGTATTCCTGCAGCAATTCCACGTTATTGGTTGTGTAAATGACTGGCCTTGGCTAACAGTTGTCCTACATCCAAGCACCCTGTCTAGGTCATTGGAAGAACAGTGGTACCATGAGTATAAGCACACAAGGAGGAAGAGATGGTTTTGAAGAGAAGGTGGACTTGTCTTGAGTTCAGTGAGTTTCCTGTTCTCATTTCAGCCTCAGAAATGTGGCCAAGCCTCGTGGGAAGTGTACCAAGGAAATGTAATATGTGAGCAAAAAAATAGGGCTGAAAAAAAAAAAAGTGACTGAAGTGGAATGAAACTTTAAGGGTCTACCTGAATATAAGGGATTATTTATTTTACGATGGCTCTGAGAAAGACCTAGACTGCCCCTAATTTTAATCTTAAATTTGAGGTTTTCAAAGTTTCTAGGTCTCTGAATTTTGCATAACCAGAGAGGTGAAAGGTAGGAGTAGTAATACTCTGCTCTCGAAGGATGCCACATTGTTGCTAAACACAAACAACAACAACAAAACCCCAAAGAGGTGTTTTGTTTGTTGCTTTGTTTTAGCCCAGAGTCCAGCTGTTGCAGGTAGCTGAGGTCAAGGGCGCCGCGTGGGCGTGCAGGAGACAGCTTTGCTGGCTCCCCAGTGTGGTGCTTCCGGGCGGGCGGTAGTACTGCTAGGCCTGCACTTTGTAGATGGAACACAAACACTCAGGGAGCTCACAACCAGATTTTGTGGTCACGCAATTAGAACCCAGGACCCAGGACTCTGTCCTTTGCACCAGCTGCTGCCTCCTGGGGCCTCTCCTCCCTGTCTTACCACCACCATGTGCATTGCGAACTCAGAGTGCAGTCCAGGGCCATGACCCCTGGGGTCCAGGTGCTGTCAGCGTGGTGAGGGCTGGAAGGGGAGGAGGAGGTGATCGGATCCAGGCTGCTCCTGGGCCAGCACCCACCCCGTCGCAGCAGCCCCTGGATGAGGCATGGTGGGGGGTGGCCCACGTATCCACAGGCGCAGGGAAATCAACCTCCGACGGCTAATCGCCTATCCAAACATTGTTGGTAATCTGCATCCCTAAAATAAACCCTTGAGAGATGGAAAGATGTTAGTAATTTCTGGCCATATGTGCCTCCTCCTTCCCTACTTTCCTTACCTCAAAAAAGAAAGCGAGCCAAATGGCAAGGAATAAAGAGCCTAATGCAGAACACATTTCCACTGTTTGATTCCCCTCTCCCCTTGCTGTCCCCCCACTTATGTAAACTGAATTCCTTTACACAGTCATGGCAAAGGACCATTAATTTTTGATTTGAGTTGTGATTAAAAGCAATACAATCAAAAGAGTGAGATAATTTCCACTGAAGCAATATCATCCAAAACCCAGTCGTGGTATGGTAAGAAAGAGCGGGGTCTTCGAGGTCAAGTATGGGTTCTAATTCTGATCTTGTCCCTTACAAATGGTGGCCGTGTGTTGTCATTATTTAACCCGAGTCCTTCTCCTTGATTGTAATAACTAATAATGATGGTGCTTCACATGGATGCTGTGAACCACACCCACTGCGCCTATCCTGTGCCTATAGACAGAGCCTGGCACGTGGTGAGTACTTAACGAAGGACGGCGCGCTTGCCTGCAGAAAAGAGGGCCCTCGCATCATCTGCTCGGCACGCGCTCGCCTTTCCTGGTGATGGAATCGATCACTCCTACGGCAGTGGTTGGCTCCCAGACTTAGACTTTGGGAAGTAGCTCGAGGCGCATCAAATGCTGGGGCCACCTCTTAGAGGGTCTTGGGAAAGGAGCAGAATTGCTCTCTGCTGCTTTCCGTTGTGGTTGCTCCCAGTCCCATTGGCTCCATTTGGCAGAGGGGACGCAGAGACGGAGATTTGACTTTTCTGGGCCTGTGTAATGAGTCTCCTCTTGCTGGCTCCTCACTCGGTCCCACTGAGAACCTTTCTCATTTAACCAGCCACAGACTAGGACAGTTGAAGTCTCTCACGTGAACCCCAGGCACAAGGTTTGTAAGCCAGCACGGGAAGCTTACCGAAGTGCGGGCCTGTTTGGGCACGTCTGGGGTGAGGTCCTGGCGGGGTGCTTTCTGCTGCTTTCCATTCTGCATCCCCCCGCCGGGCCCACCGCTCTCTGTCCACCGCGGGGGTGGGAGCCAAGCATCAGCAGCCTTGCGGGGCAATGAGTGGTTTGGGCTGGGGGAGGGCTGGAGAAAGGACCTCACTGGGAAATGAGCAGCTCAGTTCGCCGCCGCGTGTGCAGGGAAGCCTGGACCAGCCGGCAAGGTCAGTGCTAATCCTCAGCAAGAGCCTTCTGCTGATCGGTGCCTAGTCTTCTGCCACCCTTGGGAGTGAGGCATTTCATAAGCAACACCAGGTCTAGGGTATTATGTGGGGTTAAGTAGGTTGCCAGGTCCGGAGCCCTTTTTGTAAGGGAAAAAAAGGCGGCGGGAACATGTTTAATTCACCGACTTTGACTCATTCATTAAAGATTTGTTCCTAGGACTTTTTTCCTCTGCTCTTTATTTTTGGGCTAGGCCAAGGGTGTGCTTTCCAATCAACTAAATATTAAATTATAAAGCCTTCACAAATGCAGTTTTTCCTTTGCCAGAATAGTGTCTGTCAACCAGGAGGAACTCTTTTACCATTTCATAAATAAAGTCAGTTTGAAATGTGGGTAAAACTGGGAAGAGAGTCTGAGCTCCTCCCTCATATTTTCTTGGTCCATTTAATCAGTAGCATAAGTTTTGGGTTCATTATAAAGACTTGTGCAACCATAGAGTCAGCACGGGCAGCACAGCGGCTAAAAGTGCACATTCAGACATGGGTCTCAATTTAGGGTTAGTGACTTTGGGCGAGTAAACTTAACCCGTAACGCCTCAGTTTTCTCATCTGTTAGCTGGAGAAAATAACTGCACCTTCCTCATGGAGTTGTTCGGTTTAATTGAGGAAATGCGTGGAAAATACTCAGCACACGCCCTGGCATGCCATATGCCTCCGTCATTGATAGCTCTTTTTATTTAGTTGGGATTCAAGCCTTTCTTCACGGAGTGCGGGTGGAGGCTCTGCATTATTAAAAAGAGGGGCCGAGTAATTTTGAATTCAGAGAAATGCAGAGGATGTACAGATTATCTGGTGACTAGCAGCTAGGCAAGGATGTCCAGCTCCTTTGGAAATATGTGGGGTTGGCTGGTCTTACCAAGGAGAGTGGGAAGCCGTGTGCTGACGCGTGGGGAACTTAGAGCATACCTCCACACCAGCTATCTTCAATAGACCCTATGCAGCCGTCACTAAAGTAGCTGGTCCACACATTAACGTTAAAATAATGTTAAGTCAGGGTCTGTAGAGATGAGAGAAGGCGGAGTTGGTGGACACGCTTGCTTTCTTTCCCTTTTTGCAGGGCGATGTGCTGAGAACAGAAGAAGCCCATGTACCATATTAACCTTGAGAGTTCACCCTCTGGATTTCTCTCTCAGGACTTCACCAGGACTTGCTCTGATCTATCTAGAAGTCAAAATAGAGTTTCGTGCCATGTGGGTCTACTCAACGGGTAGAACTTTCATGGCACCTGCTAGAGGCTGATGAGTGGTTGACAAAACATTGGCAGTGTGTGCTGTCAAAACTCCCTAAAAGACATGTTTGTAGGGACCCCGATTTCTCTAATGCCGAGGTTGGGCGTTGATGTTTAATGCACTTGAGTATGACAGTTTGAAGCATTCTGTAACGTTCCCTTGCTGGGGGTGCACATATAGAACAATGTTAAGAGGACATAACTTTCAAGGAACTTTATGACTCTTGGATGTTAAAAAAACTAAACCAGTAACTTTCTCTTAAAAAAAAACCAAAACACCTCAAGGTAGGTTTTTTGGTTGCAGAAGTCTAAAGCATTAGATTATGTGGATTATATGATCCCCTTCTTCTCTTAAAGCCTTGTGTGATATTCTGAGTCACCGAGTTTTAACAAAGAGAAATATGATTTAGTTTTGAAAATATATTTGAGACCCATCGCCCCTTGTGGCAACAACTATTGAGATACCGCCAGGCACCGCAAAAGTGGAATCAGCACATAAAAGTTAACTGAGACATTGGTACTTATTTATAAATCTATCTCCTTTCACTTGCTATTTGCCTTTCATTTCACCTTCCTCGTCAGCCGTAGGTTGGGGTTATTGTTTTGCACGAAAGACTGTTCTAAAATGCTTCCTCTCTCCCCTTCTCTGCCCTTACCGTCTCTAGCACTGAGGATGAAAATAAAAGAAGTGAAAAAAGAAAATGGTGACAAAAAGATTGTCCCCAAGAAGAAGAAACCCCTGAAGTTGGGGCCCATCAAGAAGAAGGAACTGAAGAAGCTCGTCCTGTACCTGAAGAATGGGGCCGACTGCCCCTGCCACCAGCTGGACAACCTCAGCCACCATTTCCTCATCATGGGCCGCAAGGTGAAGAGCCAGTACTTGCTGACGGCCATCCACAAGTGGGACAAGAAAAACAAGGAATTCAAAAACTTCATGAAGAAGATGAAAAACCACGAATGTCCCACTTTTCAGTCGGTCTTCAAGTGAATCTCACGGGGTGGTTTGGGGAGGGAGCGGTGGGCTGGGGTGAGGGGTGGGGGCTGAGCAGACAACCCTGGAACTCACTGCTTCTTCTGTGGGTAGAGGACGTTGTAATCCAGTTGGCTTTCCTCTTGCAGCATCCTTACTCTTCCCCTCCACAGCCACGCGCCAGACCCCCGTGTAGCCAATATTTAAAGCCGCACACCCAGGTAAGGGAAACCAGTTAGATTAGGAAGCCTTGTAAGGTCTACAGTCTGGAACAGCATGTCACTGAGTACAAGGAGGTGCATAACCATTTCAACCAGAGACCCACTCACTAAAAGAGAAGAATGTTCCACATAAAAAAGGGGATTAGGCAAAAATGTAAGAGCAGCAAAAAATAATTCCTGCAACTGTCTTTGTGTCATTACGAATTGCTTATGAGTCCTTCAGCTAATCTGTTCCTTAGGAATGAGACACCTCTAAATGTTGGTAAGGGATACATTGCTTTTGGTTCCAGAGCAATTTCCCTTTCTGTCTGCTTCAGACAGAAACAGGCATCCACCACACTTACAACTTAAGATCAGTTTCAGAGAGTAATAGGCGCAGGGAAGAAAAGCGCCCATGACACAGCATGTAATAGTGAACTCAAAGGGAGTCAGACCTGCCCTGCCTTCCCATGTGACTGTCTTTTGCTGTGAATCAGAGTCTCAGATGCCATGTGAGTGGCGGCTGACATCAGCCTCGGTGCATGATCTAACTGCCACACACGTGGGGGGCACGTGCCCGCCTTTGTGTGAGGAAAAGGAAAACCTGTGGGAACTGGACCCATGGCAAGAGAGACGGCGATTTTCAGACCCAGGAGGTGATGGTTAGTGGTTTTCAAAGAACGTAGTTAAAGAGAAGAGAAAGAAAAAAATTTAGAATAGTCCAGCAAATTGCTAGTCAGGGTGAACTGTAATTGGGTGGAGAGCTTAGTATTCTAATTTCATCTGTTTATTCATTTCACATTTCTTTAAAGAGCAACAACCGAAAAGCCCAGTTGCTTTTCAGGGTTTTTTTTTAAAAAGTCTACATTGAGCATGTGAAAGGTATACTAAGACCAGGGTCTCTCCGAGCATCTGAGGCTGCTTTCCAGCAGTGCTGCACTGTCTCCAGGCATTTTGGGAGGGAGGTGGACCCAGCAGGTAGCACAGCTGTGTGGCTGCCTTCCTGAGGAGCCCTGGGCTGCTCTGGCCCCAACACAATGCTCATTGAAACTCAACGCTTCCCATCCTTTTCTTTCCTGTGAAGAAATGGATTCCTTTAAACTTGATTGCCTACAGGTCAAAGAAATTCAGAACAACCGGCCTGCCCGCCCTCCTGCATTTAAAAAAATTATTTTTATTTCTGCAGAGGGAAAGTTAAGCCACAAGTGTCCTCATCCAAGGAGAGAGTTTCCAAGGCAGTGTATCTCCTGAGTGTCCTACGATGTTTCCCAAAACCCTGTGTTTATTAAATATGTACATAAACCCATTCACTGACGCAACTTCATTCCTCTTGTTCAGAGTATAGGAAGTAATTCAAAACGATCCATGCTAATTTCTTCCCCAAGCCTGATTCTTAATTCTCTGGAATACCTCGAGGACTTTAGTGATTGTCCCTCTGGGCACATGGCCGTACTCGGTATGGATGCTGCAGAGAGGCCGGGAAGGGTGGCCTTGTGGCCTGGCCCAACACAGAAACAGCGGAAGATGCTGTTAACTTCTGAAGACTCCGGTCTGGAAATCAGCCTGCCAACTTCGTTACCTACCTGAGGGTTATCTTGATGTAATTAACCTCTCACAGTTAGCGACCCTATTATTTTAACACCTCTGTTGGTTCACTCTGATCTTTAATCATAAAGTGTTGGGGATCTTAAGTGATTTGCCTGTAATTTTGGATGGTTTAAAAAAATGTGTATATATATTAGTTAATTAGAAATATTCTACTTTCCTATTGTCGACTGATATTCAGCAATTTCGAGTGCATGGATCTGGGTCTTAGTTTTGGTTGATCAACTTGAGTTCATTGCTGGTATGTATCTGATGTATCTGCTCATCGTGACAGCGCATCATGCAATGGGACCCTCATGCTGAGGTGGAGCCTTGGGGGCGGGGTTTGTGTGGGGAGTTAGCAGTTACTGCAGAAAGATTATGGAAGAGTCAGAGGCGGCCATGCTGTGCAATTCTCTAAATGGGAATTCTCAGGTAAAAGGTGACATTTTTAGAAAAAGTTTAAAGCAGATTGAAATTGTGAATTGCAACTACACGTATTACCCCAATCAAGGAGTCCTAGGCTTCGAGTTTTACTGTGGGTTTGAGACGCCCACCGTTCCGTCTACAACACAAGTGATTCCAGGGAGCAGAAGGAGACTCTGGGCTCAGAGCTGCCTTTTTATCTCAAGCCTTTGTTTTGCTCAAAAAAGGATGTTAAGAAAACCAATGTGCAGACTCATTGGCTTGGTCATCGGTTTCCAAAAGAGTAGGGGTGTGTGTGTAATTTGGTAATTATTGCTAGTGCAAAGGTCATATTTGTAAAGGTTTAAAATAATTGCTCTGGGTTGAAGCCTGTGAGGTCATTGGCAGAACTCAGCTCAATCCTTGAAGAACATTACTCTCTATCTTAGAAGATAGAAAGGGTGTTGAGAATTCCAAGAACATTTTACCTTTAGGTGCTGAATTAGTGCCAAGGCAGAATCCAGTCAGCTCTAGTTTCATTTGCATCTGCAAATTACAGAAACACCTTTTCCCAAACCTAGAATCTGCTTCTCATCAGACTCCAGGTAACTAGTTACCCTATTTCTAACTCCCCATTGTGTGGGCTCAGACGATCTGTTTTGGAAGCGCACCTTAGGTAACTCCTGCGGATACTGTGCTGGCCCTTCTGACCTGTCACCAGCAGATACATAGGACACAGACAAAATTCTTGTTTCCTCTAGTTCCTTCCTGTAGCATTCCTCTTTTAGAGTGTAAATCTTTTACAAAAGCTTTGAATACTGTGAAGATGATTTTACATTCCATTTCATGTGTGTTGTTTTTTTAAACTGCATTTTACCAGAGGTTTTGATGTTATCACCTATGTTAATAGTAAATCCCATATGTGTTCATTTTATTTTCATGCTTTTCCTGCCATGTATCAATATTCACTTGACTAAAATCACTCAATTAATCAATGATAATGTGAGTTGTGACTTCTTCCCACAAAGACATGCCACACACCCCCTTCGACTGCACGCATCCCCCACTCCTGACTTCTTTCGGCGATGTTTTCTGGTGTCAGTTTAACAGCTTTCCGGGGGTAGCCGGCCGGGTGGGCTAGAGAAGCGCCTGCAGGCACCGCGGGCTCCCCCACCCCCTCCCACCCTCACCATCCGCCCCCATGGATAACTTCGGGAGTGTTTCTCTTGGCTGTGTGTGTTTCAGCTCAGAAAGAAGGTTAAATACTTGCTCTGCAAGAATATATTTTTCAACTCTGCCCGAGTTCCTTTTTCTGGTTTCAGATGCTCTTTCCCCTCTAGCCAATTCAATTTGAAAATTAACGAATACACTCGAAAACTCTCTGGTATCTGGAATCTTAGACCCACAGGAGACCTTTGAGGAGAACCTTCTGGTTTATGGATGGAGAAGCCGCGATGGGAATGGTTGGGATTTCCTAAAGAGTGGGGCTCCCGGGTCAAGGGCGTTGCAGAAACTGGAGCCCAGGTCTCCCCAGTGCTGGTCCTGTGGGAACAACATCTCACCACTCAACTTCCCTTTGGACCCAGACGGTGGTCCTTGCCAGGCCTGTGCTGTTCCCTGTGAGGTTTACATGCTGCTTGCCTAAGGAACTGTCAGTGGGACTTCTAATTCTGTAAGCAATTACAGTGACAGCTTCAGTTGATGTCGTTCCCTGATTTAACAAGGCACTTCCCAACCTCAGACAACTGGCAGCTTTACCCAGAAGTGAGCAAATACCACACAAAACCACCCCTATGCACAGAGCCACTCCTTTTCAGGCATGGTGTGGGGACCTGTAAAAAATCCCATTAAAGTTGTGCTCCAGGATGGGAAGATTTTCCCGTACTAGTGTATTTGGTGAACTGGTGATACTCAGACCCAGCCAAGGAAAAGATTGGCATTTCCTTTTAGTTTCTCTGTGGTTAAGAATGAAAATTTCTTATGCTGGGAATGGCTGTCATTGTCACCCCACTGAAGCCCTACCACCGCGACCCGTGGTTTTCCATCGCTGTTAGATTTAAAAACAACAAATGCACAGAAGGATGATTAAGTGTGTATGAAGGCATCTCGGCTTCAGCTGCTGGAGTTGCCCTGGAGTTTGAACCTTGTGTCTGAGAGAGGCTGGCCACACCAAAACAGCAGCCTTGCCTTCAGAGCTCTATAGCACCCGCCCCTCTTCAAGGAATCATACCGGTGCTCTCCTATTTAGAGGCAGAAAGAGATGAAGCGTCTCTTCACTATGTTACGCAGCTTGGGCTGGTCTTCCAATGCTATCTCCCCATGATGAATTCACAAGTGCCAGCATTTCACGTTTGCTCCTGAGAAAGAAACCTGTATTGATCATCCACTAGTAATCCAAGGAAAGAGGGAGACTCATTCTTAAACTTTAGTATGTATCATGGAGGGGAACTCGCTAACTTGCAATTTCTGGCTTCCACCCTCTAGAAATTCAAGTTCAGAGGGTTTGCCATGGGGCTCTAGACTCTGAACTTGGAACTAGCACTCTAGGTTTTGCAGATGCCAGGAGTCCCCTGGATCTTACTTTACAAAACGTTCTAGTAGGGCATAAGTGGCTTGGGGATGAGAGAAAGATTTTTTGGTATTTCCCTCTTCTCTACCCACACACTTTTGGAAGTTCTGAGAGCTAATCTCACTAGCTATTAGTTAATAGAGGCCAACTAGATACACAAGGGAGGGCCCGCGTGTAACTCCTTTACAGCTGGGTTCATCTCCTCTCCAAGGAGTGCTTCTCAAACTTTAATGCGCATGTGAGCCACGTGGATACCTGGTTGAAATGCAGATTCCCATAGGGTAGGTCTGAGGCAGGGCTGG